ACATTTCTATTATATTGCAGTTGCAATAGTGCAGTCTGAGCCACACAGTTCCAGTTTGATTTTAACCGTATCCATTTGTGGACTTTGCTTTTTGCTCGATTTTTATTTTTTCCGCCTGTTTCCTGTTTGTGTCTCACTGCTTTCTTCACCCGCCTTTTCCAGCATTACTTCTAACAAAAGGTGAGCAGTTTAAACTTTTAATCTGAATTTAATATCAGTGTCTCTGATTATATATGAGAGTGCGACGATGGCGCACTTGGACAGTTCTTTTAAATTTGACAAACAAACAAAGTCTCCACTGTAGTTAAATCTAGCTTTTACCAATTACGCCAAATTGCCAAGGCCAAGCCTTATATACCCAGCAAGGACCTTGAGAAACGTATCCATGCCTTTATTGCATCTAGATTAGACTACTGTAACTCCCTCTATTTTGGCCTCCAATCTACCCTTCTCCGCAGACTTCGGCTTGTTAAAAATGCGGCGGCACGCCTCTTAACTGGAACTGGCAGGTTTGATTCTATCACCCCTATCCTCGCTGACCTGCATTGGCTTCCCATCAAATACCGTATTGATTTTAAATGACTATTGGTTACCTTTAAAATTATAAATAACATTGCTCCCAGCTATCTTGTTGAACTTCGCAGCTTGTACGCTCCTAGTAGATGGGCCTGTTGCTCTTAGTGCAACCTAGGGCACGGTTGAAGACCAGAGGGGATCGTGCTTTTGCCATAGCTGCACCCAAACTCTGAAATAATGTTCCTATTGCTATTCGTGAGTCTGAATCAGTTCAATCTTTTAAATCGCGGTTGAAAACCTTTTTATTCAATTGAGCCTTCCCTAGTTAGTATTTGTATCCTGCAAATGTTCTTTTATGTAGTTTTAATGATTTTATTTTATTTTATTGCTGAATAATCTCCTAGTCGAGTTGTATTTGTATTTTCTTTTACATATTTTCACTGCGCTGCGGCTAATTAGTGCTCTCCACCTGTTGGTGTATTTATTCCCTGTTAGTTTCCTTTCTTTAAATTATTGTATTACTGTAAAACACTTTGGTGGACCGCTGGTTTTAAATGTGCTATACAAATAAAGTTCTATTGTATTGTATATGCATTAAAGGATTAAAGTTGATCACAATGTCTAATCTTTAAAGCAGTACTGTCTGGTTAAATATTGCATTTTATATTTCAGTTTCATTTCTTGGTCATGGATGATTTCGTAAGAAACACACTGCTTGAATGGGGCCTAAGTGATTGGGTGGGGAAATTTAAAGGTAAAGTATTGATCTGATTGACAGATATTGATTATGATTTGATCTGTTAACTGTAAAACAGCTCATAGAACTGTGCGGATTGCTTTTTCACTCATTAGCGAGAATTTCTGAAGCAAGTTGAGAATAATCTTTATCTCGTCAATTTTACTTTTAATTACAGATGAACAAATCAATGCGAAAAGTCTGTATTAGCTAGATGATCGAGAAATTGATAATTTGATCACAAAAGCTGGACCAAGAGTGATATTCAAGAATAACCTCAAGCTGTTAAAGGTAATTGATTTCTTTGACAATCATTGTTATTTTAGTGTACAGAGGTGAATTTTTGTTAGATTTATCTTGATATTAAAAAAAATGTACTGGCAGTAATAATATGTAGCATAATTTTTTAAAATTCTTCACTAATATGGATTTACAATGTTTTGGTGGTGCTAGAAAGAAATAAACACAAATCAAGAAATAGTCACTTCTTTTCAATTAAGTTACAAACTATTTTGTTTCCTTGAGATTTAGTATCTATACGAGAAATACAATTTTTAATACATGTTTAAGTGCTCAGTATTTTATTCGGCTTTGCACTTTTTATCTGCAGGGTAAACAGGAGCATGCAGAAGCAGCTGGTTTGGTTCAGGTAAAGATTATACTGAATCTCAGACATTGGGCCAACTACCTGAGACAAAATAGAGTTTCATTCTGTTGCCTTAAAGGATTACATACCGATTGAATATTAATTATAGTGACCTTCGATTGACATAACCGGATGTCATTATTGCCAACGTAAATTACAATTTTACTGAATTTATATTTACCCTTCGCCAGCAGCTTTAAATTTCTCTCAGTGTCGCCTGTTCAGGCCATCTTGACTGATGTCTCTAGCTGTACATGTCTCAGAACAGAATCACCAATTACCAGAGTTTGATCCCCTGCGGGGGTGTCGCCAAGTAGGGAAAAACAGTTAGACACATGAATGGGTTGGTGGTGTACCAGGGGCTTCCTCGTCACCCAGTCACCTTGTTTTCCCGACTGCTC